CCAGGTTGATTCTATGATTTTATGAAAGGTTCTCCCCAAGTGGATGTGCTAAATGCTTGTGATGGAAGTGATGTCCTTCCCGGCCCAGCTGGCTGATGGCAGTGCCTCTCCCTCTGCAGGTCCCGGCGTGGTGGGTGCCAACAGCCGCAGCCTGTGCGCTGGCAGGGCAGAGAGCATCTCCTACCAGGAGCTCAAAGACTTGAAGAAGACCAAGGCCCTCCACATAGATGTGCGGGAGAGGTGGGAGATCGACAGGTTTGGAAAGATCCCAGAGTCCATCAACATACCATGTAAGTTATCAACACCCCTGTGTGCCCAGAGAATCACACCATGTGCCTGAGAGGGTTATCCAGACACGTCTTTAACTCTGCCAGGCTTGGGGCTGTGAACACTTCTCTGGGATGTTGTTCCAGCACCCAACCACCCTCTTTTCCTAATATCTAGCCTAAAGCTCCCCTGACACAGCTTCATGCCATTCCCTCACATCCTCTCCCTGGTCACCAAAGTGATCACAGCTGGACCACAGCTCCCATGGCTGTAAGAGGACAGTGACAACAGTGAAAGTGATGCAGGCTACATTTCCCTTTGCTTGATGGTCAAGGCTGTGGACAAGTGGCAATAACTGAGCAAAGAGAGCTGCTAGCATGTTGTGAGACTGAACTTTTCCTCCAAAGGAATTAGTAGCATTGCAGTGTAAGCCTATCTGTGGATGGAGAATAAATGATACTTTGTTTTGTGTATTTCCCAGTGGGTGAATTAGTGGAAGCACTACAAATGGACCCAGTGGAGTTCAAGGAGCAGTACAATCAAGAGATGCCATCCAAGTCAGACCCTGTGGTTTTCTCCTGTTTGGCAGGAACAAGAAGTAGACAAGCACTCGGTTTTGCTGTGTCCTTGGGTTTCAGCAGGTATGACTTGTGTGTGTAAGGATGGGATTAATGCTGTCTCCCCCCATGAAGCAGAACACATAGAATCATAGAATTTTAGGGGCTGGAATGGACCTTATAAATCATCTAGTCCCAACCCCCCCTTCCATGGGCAAAGACATACTCACCTTGTGGGCAAGGGTAAAAATTTAAACGTGGAATATGAACAGAACAATTGGTATTTGAGTTAGACACCTCCTCTTGTCTCCACTGAACGTTGAAAGATGCCAGTGGGTCTTCCAGCAAAGTGAGGTTTATCATCCTCTGAAACAACCCCTCAGCAGCTCTGCACATGTGCCACAGGTGATGCAAACTGCTGTGAGACCACACTGCCACTGAAGGAGGGTCCTTCTGCCTCTTAGGGCTCCCTTGCAGAATCTTTGCTTCCTTACACAGCTCCGTAAGCACTAGTCCTGAGAAACAGCATGATTGGAAAGGCAGAGAACTACTTGCTTTGGTAGGAGTACAATCTTAAATTAAAAAGCTTATGAAACCACACCCTTTGTTGAATTGCAGTTCTACCTGTATGGTTCACTGTTGGCAAAGTACACCTTCACTTTCAGTAAAGCTTTGGAGTAAAGCAGTGAAGGCAATAGCTAACAAGAGGATGAAGATTATGCTAAGAGTGAAATCAAAAGCAGCATTTGGTTGGCAGAATTGTTACACCCATGCTGGAAGGTGCCTTACTGGCTTGAAGACTGCAGATAATATTTAAAACATTGGTTGTTAGTTCATGTTTTCACTGAAGTGCAATTCATTAACTGGCATACTCCTACTAATTCTAGTCAAAACTATGAACCACATTCTTGTTTCAAAGCGCAAAATATCCTCCAACACCTGTTTTTCATGCTGCCTAATTGAAGGGGTCAGTATTGCTTTGCATGGTGGGGTTTTGTTTTCCAGAGTTTAGTTTTCTGCAGGTTTATAGAGAATGTAGGTCTGCAAGGAAGTAAAGATCACTCTGCCCTGTTCATTTGATGCCATCTGAAGCATTAGACATAATAACATGCAAATCTCCCACTGCAGTGAGTCTGTTCTCACTTAACTGTTTGATCCAGCTGCTACTACTTGACTCCTGTCTGATCTCCAGCGTTGTGTCATTTGGAAGAGTTACAGAGCACACTGCTGGAAGCAGGCAGTGTTAGAGTACAAGGAATGCCCATCTGGCTCATTGAAGTTAGCTACAAGTGTATTTGATTGCAGAGAATTTCTGTATGGTTGGGGTTTTTCTGGTTTTTGGTTGGTTGGTGGTGGCGGCTAAGGGTTTTGTAGTTTTGGGGGTTTTTGCAGTGTGCTCTTAAGATATAATGTTAACAAGGACTCTCCTTGAAAAAAGTGTCTTCTGCATGTTTTCAGAGTTCAGCAGTATGCTGGTGGCTTTGAGGACTGGATAAAACATGAACCTCCAGAAAAGAAATGAAGATGACAGCCCCAACCTTCCCCTAGCAAGGCTTCAGGATGGTTCATCTATCTAGTTTTCTTCATGGTATGGGTTTTCCTCCCATATGAAATATAGAACCATAGAACCATCAGGGTTGGAGGAGACCTCTAAGATCATCCAGCCCAACCATTAATCTGCCACTCTGCTGGAACCCCTAAACCAGATCCTCCAGTATGAGATCCATGCACCTCTTAAACACTTCCAGGAATAGTGACTCCCTGGGCAATCTATTCCAGCGCCTGAGCACCCTAACAGGAGAAACATTTCTCCTAACATCTAACTTGAATCTCAAATATATGAGCTCTCAAATATGTGAGCAGGCTGATGTTTACCTAAAGAACAGCTCCTGTTTAAGAACTCCACACAGAAGTGGTCAAGTTGCTTTGATTTATTTCTATTCCCCAAGTCCACGTTACAAATAGCACATTTTAGACTTCAAGAAAAGAAAGCAAATAGCCAAGTTCCACTTCCTCAATCAAGTGTCTATAAAAGGTATGGATCAAATGGCAACCTAATGGTTTATGAAAACAACCTGAACAGAAATAAAAGCCAGTAGCCTAATGGGCTACACACAAACACAGCTCAGTGGTGTTTCACTGAATTAGCAGCCAATTACAAAGACAGCTATTTGCCAAACCAGGGAGTGTTTTTAAGGCAGGCAGGTTTTTTTGAACCAAGATGCATCCCAGAGCACAGGTTTGCAAGATCTCCTTCCAGTATTTCACACCAGTGAAATGTGTTGTTTCAGGAGAAAAATTTTAAAAACAAAATTAAAAAAAAAAAAAAGAGAAGAATGTTACTGTACTTTATTTTATAATTCAATTTTTATACTTGGGCAAGTCACTGTTATCATTCAAAATAAAGTTGTACAGAACTTAATTCAAAACAAAGTCATCTAAAAATAAAATAAAACCAAGAAATCAATGTAGGCCAATTCCTGACTTCAGTGGGACATCTGCCTGAGTAAGGAATGCAGGATATGGCCTTGTGTTTGAAGGAATCTCATTTTCTCCAGCACAAAGTTAACCAAGGAATCCCATTTCAGTTATTCTAATGAATTGCTCCTAACATCACAATTAAAATTAGCCAGTATGAAGCTCACCAAACGCCTGATCCTCTTAAATAAACTAATGAGCCACACAAATTCACACTAACAGTGAAGGCAGACTAACAGTGTATATCTTTTCTACTGAAAAAATCCACCATAAAAATAGCAATCATATCCAGATTTGTACTTCTGAAATATTTTGATTGTACTATACAGTACGTTTGTTTGAGGAAAACAAAAAGTCATGATATGTTGGGTTTGCTTAATTCCTAACACTTGAAATGTCTCTGAAAACTGCAGAATCACTATACATATTGCACTTCTCTGGTAAGCTGGGCTACTATGCATGGTGGCAAAAACATCCAAGTACACCTACTGAGGAAAACAGCCTTTCTCAACTCCAAGGAAAGGAACTGACTTCCTTTCCTGCAGCTTTCATTAAAACTGTAACAACACTCTCTGCAGGCTCTTCTAGGCTTTGTTTCTGAAGGACTATGTGTTACTTGTTAGGGAATCTGTGTGTTTCTTTAAACCGAAAAAATTCCATGTGATGGATAGACTGAACATACAGTGCACTATCTTCCTTCAGTCACAAACAAAATGAAGACAACACAAGTCATTAATACAGTTACACTTAGGCTTCGGGTTAATGTGGCTTTAAAAAGACTTCACTTCATTGCAAGTAAAACCAATCATGAACTATTTGTTTTGGGTGGATAGTGTTAATCTTCTGCAGTTTGGTTTAATGTTTGATTCCTTACACCAAAAAAAAAAATCTTAGCACATTTGCTCCAGCGTCAGAGAAAATGATGTAGATTTAGAGAAAAAGCTTTCAAAATGCTTGACACAAACAAGCTATTTATTCTTTGAGTTCGTTGTCAAAGATGTTGTTAAAACCTTCTGTCCATTTCATGAACACAGGAAAGATTCCAGGATGTCTTGAGTCAAAGTGGTCCATAAAGAAATTCTTTGGAATGCCTTAAGATTGGCTATAACTAGAGTTCTGGCTACCGTTTGGACCCTGTTCTCCTTCACTGTTTGGAAGAAAACAAAAACATGTGTGTTCATTAAACAGCATCATATTACATTTTTATCCTCCTTAAGTACAAACCACAGTGCTCTGAAAGTGATCTAAACATTTTGAAGGAAAATGCTTCAACGCATACACAAATAGGTCAAGATATTCTGCTCAGCTTCATAAAAAATGCAAAGGTTATTCTCAGCACACCTAAGTGACTTCAGCATATTTATCTGGATAATAACTCCAAGATATGCCATGCAGCTGCCTCCTGAATCTACTTCTGAAGCCAACACTGCAAAGTTCCTATTACATAAGCATGTGCACAAGAGTTAGCATGTGCTGACTCCCAGCAGTGATATTTAGTCAGAGTAGTTAACCATAACACCAAGCAGGGCCAGTTCCATCGAGTCTGGCCCAGCCATGGAGCCTCACACTTGGGTTCCTTACATCTGCTGAGCTGTACTGATTCCATTCTCAGCACATTAATGCTCTCCATTAGACAATGAATGTTCTGCTTCTCACTAGCTCCTGAAGAATTAGATTTTGTAAGAGAAAGGTCTGCACTGTAAAAACATCAGCATTAAACACCTACACGTTCTTAAGAGAGGGGTAGTTTTTCTGTAGGAAAGGTGTATTAAGGAATTACAGTACCTGTTTGGAGGTGGTTTTGGTTTAGGCATTTTACTAAGGATAGTAGCCATCTCTTTCCTCTCATCAAAGTTCTTCCACTGCTCATACAGCTTCAGAATAACCCTGATTATTTCTAAAATCTGATTAGAAACAAAAGAGATCCTAAGGCGAGGCACAACAGTGATTTTATCTTTGTCACAGTCACTGAAGCACAGAATCACCAGTTAGAACGGACCCATGAGAATCATCTAGTCCAACTCCTGGCCCTGCACAGGACACTCTCAGGAATCACACCATGTGTCAGTTTAAGTGTGTAATGAATTAAATGTGCCCCAAACTGAAATTCAACAGCACAATTTGCATATTATAAACAGAACTCTCTCACACATAGTCTGGTCTCCCAATCATTTCTTTAATTAGTTTTCTGATTTAATTGTGAATGGAAGCCTGAACAGAATACTTTCCTTTCAACTGTGCATACCTCTTCTCTTCCCCTGCAAACCAAATAGATTTGCATCTATTTTTTCCATGTTGTGCCACTTATAACTATGTTGCTGGGAAAATACAGACACGTGGCAGCATGACTGCAGCTCAATGGCCATGGACTGTCCACACAGTAACTGATGAATATCCATGTTCTATATGTATTCGTAGCACAGTGTTGGAAAACAAAATCAACACACTACAGAGCATTGATCTGAATTCTTTCCTTCCAAGAAACACAGCCAAGGATCTTGGCACCTCCCTGTTTAACACTGACTGAAGTTAGTGCTGAACATCCTGGAAGTGTCAAGAATGTTCTATGCTGTGCTACAGTGTGTACATGTGTAAGGAGGAAATGAGAACAGTATGCAGTCATGATCCTGAAAGGTGAATCAGAGAATCACATGCACTTGAATTTAAAAGTCAAACTCATGCTGGCAACCTCATATGATGGAAAGACACTGGGAGCTCTTTTTCTGGCAAAAAAATGTAAAAGACACTGGGTTTGTATTTCTGTCTGAAAAACAGCAACACCAGCAACACTCTTCTGTTATGCAATGGTTTTGTTTTGACTCTCAGAAGAGTGACACTTGAATGACCTGACACTGCCTCCCTCCCTGAGAGATCTAAGTAACTTCAACAGTGACTAACATGATCACTGAATGAAGTTCAGATCAGTGTTGCATACACGCAACACAGTGATTTTATAACCACAACTACTGTTTCGGGTCAGTCCATAACAAGTGATGGGAATGAAAAACACAGTACCTTTTCCATATCAACAGACAGCTCAGCAAACCATTGCCTTGCATCCTTCTGCTGGACAACACAGGCCACATGTAGGCAAGCTGCAAAGATCAGGTGACATGGGCATTGAACAAAGATCCACTCTTGATACAGTCAGAAACACTATGTTCTTTTTACAAACTTTATACAGTTCAACAGCAACAACTTGGGATCAACCATCAGATTTCTCTTTCTGACTCTTTAAGCTGCAAGGCTACACTGTCAGTGCTGTATGAAACACAAACTGAAGCACCCTGTGAAGACACTCTGAGGAATGCTTGTGGTGGGACAGCACACAGAACACACCCAGTTAAAAAGAGACATTACTTCTGTTACTTACCTAGAGCTATCATGAAAGGAGGGTACAGCAGACAAAGATCAGTTCTATATGTGTCATTCACTATCCTCCTGTGCAAAAAAGAACTTGTAAGTATCCTGCTATTCATCCTTAGACTTCAAAAACTCCTGTCAGTTTACAAATATTTTGTCAGTTTCCCAGATGGTCAAAGCAGTGTGGCTGCAGGGCAAAATATCAAGGGAAGAGATCTCTTCCCTTTTAAAAATCCCTGAAAGCCTTTCAATTTTTTTCCTTGTAGTCATGGCAGACGTTTTTTTGGTAGCACTATTTTAGCACCATAAATGGCTTTCTGCAGAGGGTGTTGATGTATACCATCAAATAATTCTCTCTTTCACAAATAGGTAAGGGAAAGCACATAAGTAGTACTTTTGCTGTCCTTCTGGACTTGAAACAGTTCAAGAATATTAGTTCTGCTAATACAACTAAAAAAACCTTTATGTTGCTTTTACCTCCTATGACAAGATACAACAGAAAGATGATGTGGATAGATTTCCCCTATTATGGGCAGCATTCAGTAGTGTAAAAAACTGTGCTACTAGAGCTAGAGTAAAAGATGAAAAGTAAAGCACTGCAATGTAAAATCATTACAAAGTAAAAGCATAAGAGACAGAATAAGCTAAGTCAAGGTCATATACTTGCATAGGTTAACTAGA